TTTAAGAAAAAGTCTTGCCATAATATTTATATCTATTCACGTGGAAATCAGCATATTTACAAACTCCATGACCAAACAAAAGAGAAAGGTTTACTCTTCTAACCTCAATTGTTCTTGGAAATAAGTAAAGCTACATAAACTTTTACAAAGAAAACCGTGTTGATCTCATTGACTCCCTTAGGCTGTGGTGTATGTAAAACTATAACTACACGATAAAACAGTGGAGCACTATTGGTGAGTCACAAGGAAGGGGCGAGTGTCAGACATGTGACCTAATTAGATATTTGTACGCTTAATGTCCTTATAACCTGCAGCTGGTCACAGTAACGGCGCATTTCTTATGTTCGTCTTTGTTTTGATTATTCGTTTGTTAAAGTTATTCGCACAATCAAGCGTTGCTTAGGGTACAGACAGCTCTGAGTTAAACGCAACTAACGAATAAAGACTCTCCAGAAATCGCCGATTAAGTTAACAGTCTGAGAGACGATATCATCCCATTCCATGTCGTTGAGGTCACCAACATTATTAAAGTGGACCTTACATGCCTTAAGGTGATACTTAAACTGTCCAAAGGCGGGAAACCGGTATAACCTGCCTTCAACTTCCATGTCCCCACTTTCCAACAAAGTACTTTCCACTTACTAGTCCCCAATCTTTGCAAATGCCAGCTAACTTGGAATTGTCATCCCAAGTCAATCTCACAAACGAACCACAGGCATCCGGTTGCTCATTTGCCTGACCGCTGAAGTTCTGGAACACAGCTTTACCAGAGCTGTTGGAAGCTGTGATCATGTGGAACGTGCGTCCTTGTTTCTTGTGGCAGTGGAAGTCCGTCTCAGCTGAGTGAGGAACAAGTGTCTTCGAAGCTCTTTCATGACACTTTTCTGCAGAACCATGTGTGACTTACTTATTCCACGGTATGATGTCTCAACTGACACCTTAGGAGAGGGGCTTCCAAACTTAACATTAGACACTAGAAGCCAACATCCTAAAATAAAACGAACCTAAGTAATCTGGTGACATTCATGTAACCAGAATTTTTTTGCATATGAATAATGGTGACAGGACCGAGATTGTGATTTTCTCATAAATATACTCCTGTTGAAGTCCTCGTGTCTCAAAAAAAATTTATTCTCTTACCACCATATCTTGACATGTCACAATAGACCTTCAAAGGGTTTCCACTCTTCTCTGGGTCGATCTAATACTCTCCGTCTCCTTTGGAGTGTCCAGAGTCCAGAATTTCTTTACAGGAGAAGGCCGGATGAGCAGAATCCCAACCTCGTTTCTCTACATAGGAAAAGGGAAGAAGAATCATTTGGAACGAGGAGAGGATCAAACTAAGAAACAAAACACGCCGCAGAGGTCATATTCCATATGTAGGTCCTCTCGCGTAATTATTCGATAGCTCTTGATTTTATACATCTTTGTAGGATCAATAGCATCTTTCAATTTAAACTAAGAAAATGGAAAACCCATCATTATAAGGAAAAGCAAGAGATTTTAAACTTCATATTCTCTCGGGAAAGGTTATACATGGATATACACGTGACATGAGAGAGCTCTGAAAAGCGCTAATCAGAAGTAAGAAATAGGTCACCATTTTTGACTTGTAAAGAGGGGGTGGGAGGGGTGGCAGAGTCTTGGGGGGGATATTGAAACATTCACATCCCGTCGGAAAAAAATATCACTGTGTTGGGAGGTATAACACATTAACGTGTTACCTTCAACTCTGTCGAAAACCTCGTCCCTGCTCAAGTTAGTGTGCAAAGCCGAACTGAAAGCCACAAGAAACAAAGCAACACCACTCAACAGAATGGGATAGAAATGGAAACCAACTAGATGTCCTCTCATCCTGTAATTTAAGAAAGAAAGAAAAACAGATGACAAATGTTGCTCTTCTCCCTTCTTAGATACAACAAATAGTTTTGATTGTGAATCTAGGGTTTTGTTAATTACACTTTATCTGACTCAGCGAAAGAATACGAGCACTTTTTAAACTACCAAGTCATATAAAGGAATCTTCCCTGCTAAGGATTAATTCTTGTCCGCTGGCTTGCACAAGTTACTCACCCGATAGTAAGTAAATACATCGAGTTTCTCACTCACACTCACCTTCCTTTTCTTACTTTTCCTCGACTTTTCTTCTCACGTCTATGCGATAGTAAAGGTCTTTTGTATATATACTTCTCACTCAAACATATTTATCGAAGCGGCTGACTATTCAAGATTTTATGTTGTTATCAAAGTTAGAGAGCAATCTTCTTCTGAAGTTTAAATTAAGCAATTTTCTCCAAATTGAATGACTTGGTTACTCCTTGAAACCAGTATATTCTTATCTTCAGTTTCTTTCCACTTCTCTCGTATTTTTGTATTGAAAAACTCTTTTATCAACTTTTCATACAATTTTAATGAAACTTGAGACAATAACTAAAAGAAATAAAAAGAAACAGCTTGAGAACCCCTTATGTAGATCAGGCATAAGTCAGGTTTGCACGAAGTACTGATCATGACTAACATTTCTGATTAACATTTCTTTACATTCGAGTAAAGCGTGGGGGCGTTTAACTTTAATAGAAACAAACCTCGATCATTCGGATTTTTCTTTCTTTTCCGGACCTCTTTTTCTCTTGCACAAGGATTTCTATGAGTATCAATTAGTCGCATTCGGGATCGATGACAACTTTTTCCCACCAAACAAAGCGAAATTCGCCTAATAAAAAGAGCTACAGGATGTAATTTCAACAGAGAGAGATGAAAAGTGACAGAATTCCCTCTCACCTTCTAACTCGTACATTTATGAGTCATAATTTGTAGATATATCTGCTGTACCATACATGTATTTCTGCGTTCCTATTTTGGACTCGTGCACGTTAAAATTGGCAACGGAGGCTAATATGCTGAGAAACATTTGTTTCTCCTGATGCCCTAATTATTTCTCATCCTTTGCCCTCTAGCTACCCTACTAATAGTGTTTACTTTCGCTTCCAGACAATTATAATGCAGACACCTGGCAAAGTTGGTAAAAAAAGGGACTAATGACTGACTCCAAAGGATACAGTGAGTTTTGTTGCCCTGACAGGGCAAGGTAAAGCAATCCTCACTTTAATTTTAATTTTTTAAAGTGTTTCTCATACATCCCAACTCAAAAATGACTGCAAAAAATAATTTTTATAGGCAGGCTGGCACACACATTTGCTGCGGTTTCACGGTGAACGACCTAATTATGTGAGAGTCGAAAGTCAAGTCGTTGTTTCCTCAAGGGCCAAGTGAATTTTGTTTCTCCGAGAAAGTAAGTGTATTTTGATTCACGACTCGCGACATGTTCAGCCCTCCAATCAAAGGACGTATTTAGGCTGGACATTGCATCCCGTGAGAGTCGAAAGTCAGTTCTTTGTTTCCCCGGGGGCTTAGTGAAGTTTGTTTATCCGAGAAAGTAAGTGTATTTTGATTCAAGACTCGCGACATGTTCAGCCCTTCATCAAAAGATGTATTTAAGTTGGGAATTGCATAAATGTCACGTTCAGAGCTCTCTACAAGTCAAGAATTATATTATGCTTTTAGCACCCATAAGCTCCTTTCCTTCAAGTTTCAGTCGACTGAAATCCCAATATTAGCAACGTGATGTGCCCCTTAGAAGTAAACGTTGCCGTTTTGGTGGACCGGAGTAGGCTATGTAGGGGCTCTTTTCATACCGCATGCATGTTTACAATTAGGAGGCTACAATAGTCGTTATTCCATACGAGGGGGTTCTCCTATCACATCAAAGGTTTCTGTATCACAAAGTCCACTGAACTCACACGAGCGACAATCTCGCTAAGAGGTTGAGAGTAGCCATTACTTGTTTGAAGACCAGTGGTATCTATGTTCTCTTAGTGATGTAATGCCGATGCCTCGATCGCTAGCAGATTTGCTCGATTGTTCATGACAAAATACTGTAAACCAATGGTAACTAGAGCTCATGTTTGTTCTATGAGTTAATTCTCGAGAGAGGATTGTTCGTTCATTTTTCTCAGAGATTTGAGTCGACTGAAACCCAAAGGAAAAGGAGCTTATGGGTGCTAAAAGCGTCATATAGTTCTTGACTTGTGTGAAGCTCTGAACACGATAAAAAAAAATTATACATATAATAATATATATATATATATATATATATATATATATATATATATATATAATGCCCGGTTATTATGTTATTATTACGTTTGATATAAACCTCTCAATCATTGAAAATTAAAATTTCTTCGATTGTGATTGGTTACAGTATAAAAACTCGTGTCATGTCTAAAAAGTGGAAAAAAACCCTCCCCCAATCCCTGAGGGGTTGAAGGTCAAAATCTGTATGATTACTTTTTTATTGTCCGGGAGATTTCCCAGATAGCCTCGACCTCTTATGCTAAGCATGGTTTTTCTCAATGGCTTGAAATTGAAAATTGAAATTTTCTTGTGTCAGAAGTGAATCTTTTTCGAACTGCAAAGTGTTCTTTCCTCTTCCTCTGGAATTTTTAGTATCCACGCGCGACGCTCGCGATCCGATCAACTAGCCAATCATGTTTAGAGTCCTTGATCTTAGCATTGAGGTTGACGTGGTCACTGGTTCAACCTTTTATTTAGAAGGAAGCAGTTGTGAAAATTTAATCGTTATGTACCTCTCAACTCAAATACGTTTTTTGATTGGATGGTTTAGTAAGTCACGCGCCGTGAATCAAAATACATTGACATTCTAGGGTGGACAAAATTCACTAAGCCCCCGAGGAGACAACAACTTTAACTTTCGACTCTCGCGTGATAAGGTTGTTCACCGTGAGACCGCAGCAAATGTGTGTGCCAGCCTGCGTACGAAAAGGGATTTTTGGCAGTCATATTCGGTTTGGGACGTATGAGAAAATATTTTCAAATATCAAAATTAAAATGACTGGCCCCACGGGAAACAATGAGGATTGCTTTCCCTTGCCCCGAAATGGAAACAAAAACAATCTTATAACCTGATGAGTGTAACGGTGCACTTGTCTTTATTTTGCTTTATTGGTTTGTTACTGTTATTCGCACAGTCAAGGGTTGCTTGGTGTACAGATAGACGCAACTAACGAACAAAGACTCTCCAGAAATCGCCGTCAGTGCCATTATTGTGACCGGAGCGATCATCACATTCCAATTTTTCCAATTCAGTGATTTTCAGTTGGACCCTAAGGTGATACTTGTTTTTTCTCAAGACGGGATACGAGTATAGCCTCTCTTGATCTTCACCATGTCCCCACTTTCCAACCCGGGCTTCTAGACTTCTTAGTCGACCCCATTCTTTGCAAATGCCCGCTAACTCGGAATTGTCATCACTCGTCACTCTCACAAACGAACCACAGGCGTCCGGTTGCTCATCTGTCTGACCGCTGAAGTACCGGACTACAGCTTCGCCTGAGCTGTTGGAAGCTGTGACCACGTGGAATGTGCGTCCCTGTTTCTTACGGCAGTGGAATCTCAGCTGAGTGAAGGACAACTGTGTTCTGAGCTCTTTCATGGCACTTTTCTGCAGAACCATGTGTGACTTACATATTCCACGGTATGATGTCTCAACTGACACCTTAGGAGAGGGACTTCCGAACTCAACATTTGACACTAGAAGCCAACCTCCTAAAATAAAACAAACCTAAATGATCTGGTGACATCCATGTAACTAGAATTTTGGACATATGAAATAATAACAGGACCGAGTGCAGTCCAATTGGGTCTGTAATCATGCGAGTGATTTGTAAAATCGTACGACCGCAAAGCGGGAGTCCGATTTGTTAATCACTCGTATCACTACAGACAGAATTGGACTACAAGAAGGCCTGTTACCAATTAATCAAAAATATGACAAAAATTGAGAAAGAAACTATACATCGGTTATACGTTTTCACAAAAACGAAAAACAACAGTTCACCCGGCGAAATGCGAGACAACAGCGCGCACATGACGCGTTCTGTCCACTCACACAGGCATGACGCGTTAACTATCCCTTTAACGGTCCTATTACACTGTCCAATTACAAACATGACGCGTACACTGTCCTATTAGTGCTCAGATCGGCCGGCTGATGATAACTAGTCAGTTTCAAGAATTCTGCAGTAGTTTTGATTCAAAACATAAGAAGGATATTTGTAGAGAAAGCAAGAATAGCCAAGACCAAATATACTCGTGTTGAAGTCCTCGTGTCTCAAGAAAAAAATTCATTTTCTTACCACCATATCTTAACATGTCACAATAGACCTTCAAAGGGTTTCCACTGTTCTCAGGGTCGATCCAATACTCCCCGTCTCCTTTGGAGTGTCCCGAGACCAGAATTTCTTTACAGGAGAAGGCCGGATGAGAAGAATCCCAACCTCGTTTACCTTTGGAGTGTCCAGAGTCCAGAATTTCTTTACAGGAGAAGGCCGGATGAGCAGAATCCCAACCTCGTTTACCTGCACAGGAAAAGGGAAGAATAATCATTCGACACGAGGAGAGGATCAAACTAAGAAACAAAACACGCCACAGGGGTCTTATTCCATAAGTAGTTCCTTACGTGTAATTGTTAGATAGCTCTTGATTTTATAAATCTTTGTAGGATCTATAGCATCTTTCGATTCAAACTAAGAAAATGGAAAACCTGTCATTATAAGGAAAAGCAAGATATTTTTAACTTTATATTCTCTCGGGAAAGATTATACATGGATGTACACGTGACATGAGAGAGCTCTGAAAAGCGCTAATCAGAAGTAAGAAATAGGTCACCATTTTTGACTTGTAAAGAGGCCGTGGGATGGGGTGGCAAAGTCTTGGGGGAGGATATAGTTGTTTTCAAAGGGAATGGAGAGGGGATCAGTGGTCGCTAACAGAGTTGAAAGGTGGGACTAAAGAAAATTGATGGCCAATGAGGAAGATCGATAGAATAATTCGGAACGTTATGGAAGGATCAGGAAAACTTTATTGTCACAACCAAAATACTCCGACCCTTCATACCCCCCCTCCCACCTCCTCTAACTTTCCCATAATGTTAAGCACCTTACTCAACAGTACCTCTTCCATAATAAGTAGAACGTGGGTTACACCTCAGGTTTTCCGGACTTGAATTTCTGGTTTGATTACTCAGTTGACATTCCTTCTTTATATCACTAGCATCGGATTTGCTGTTGTAAGATTGGCATTTTTCATCTCGAAGGCATTTCAATCCACAGCTTATTTCGTCAGCATATAATGTCTTGATGATGTGACCAATTAGCTCATATCCTTGAAAAACAACACAATCGCGTTTCATGTTCTCATCACTCAGTTTCTTTTGGATACTTTCATAATACAGTTTGTGTGTAGTTAACTACCCTGTCTTAAGAGGTCATCTCACATCCCATCGGAACAAAATATCACTGTGTTGGGAGGTATAACACATGTACATTCACGTATTACCTTCAACTCTCTCGAAAACCTCATCCCTGCTTAAGTCAGTGTGCAAAGACGAACTGAAAGCCACAAGAAACAAAGCAACACCAGTCAACAGAACGGGACAGAAATGGTAACCAACTAGATGCCCTCTCATCCTGTAATTTGAGAAAGAAAGAAAAACAGATGACAAATGTTGCCCTTCTCCCTTCTTAGATGCAACAAATAGTTTTGATTGTGAATTTAGGATTTTGCTAATTACACTTTGTCTGACTTAGCGAAAGGATACGAGCACTTTTTAAACTACCAAGTCATATAAAGGAATCTTCCCTGCTAAGGATTAATTCTTGTCCGCTGACTTGCACAAGTTACTCACCCGATAGTAAGTAAATACATCGAGTTTCTCACTCACACTCACCTTCCATTTCTTACTTTTCCTCGACTTTTCTTCTCACGTTTATGCGGTAGGAAAGGTCTCTTGTATATATACTCCTCACTCAAACATATTTATAGAAGCGGCTGACCATTTAAGATTTATATTGTTGTCAAAGTTAGAGAGCAATTTTCTTCTGAAGTTTAAATTAAGCAATTTTCTCCAAATTGAATGACTTGGTTACTCCTTGAAACCAGTATATTCTGACCTTCAGTTTCTTTCCACTCCTCTTGTATTTTTCTATTGAAAAACTCTTCCACCAACTTTTCATACAATTTTAATGAACCTTAGGTAACAATGAAAATGATAGAAATGAATAGGAACAGCTTGAGAACCCTTACATAAATTATCCATTGGTCAGTTTTGCACGAAGTACTGATCACGACTCGACTTTTCTTACACGTTTATGCGGTAGTAAAGGTCTTTTGTATATATACTTCTCACTCAAACGTATTTATCCAAGTGGCTGACTATTCAAGATTTATGTTGTTATCAAAGTTAGAGAGCAATCTTCTTGAAACCAGTATATTCTTACCTTCAGTTTCCTTCCACTCCTCTCGTATTTTTGTATTGAAAAACTCTTTTATCAACTTTTCATACAATTTTAATGAACTTTGAGACAATGATTAAAAGAAATAAATAGAAACAGCTTAAGAACCCATACATAAATTATGCATCAGTCAACTTTGCACGAAGTACTGATCACAGCTTGGGATTAGCGTTTCTTTACATTTGAGTAAAGCGTGAGGGCATTTAGCTAGAAGAAAACCTAGATTACTCGGATTGTTTTTGTTATGTTGTTATCAAAGTTGGAAAGCAATCTTCTTCTTAAGTTTAAATTAGCCAATTTTTTCCAAATTGAATGACTTGGTTACTCCTTGAAACCAGTATATTCTGACCTTCAGTTTCTTTCCACTCCTCTCGTATTTTTCTATTGAAAAATCTTTTATCAGCTTTTCATACAATTTTAATGAAACTTGAGACAATAATTAAAAAAAAAAATAAAAAGAAACAGCTTGAGAACCCCTTTCGTAAATCAAGCAATAGTCAGCTTTGAACGAAGTACTGATCACGACTAACATTTCTGATTAACATTTCTTTACATTCGAATAAAGCGTGGGGGCGTTTAACATTAATACAAACAACCTCGATCATTCGGATTTTTCTTTTTTTCCGAACCTCTTTTCTCTTGCACAAGGATTTCTATGAGTATCGATTGGTCGCATTCGGGATCGATGACAACTTTTTCCCACCAAACAAAGCGAAATTCGCCTAATCAAAAAGAGCTATAGGATGTAATTTCAACAGAGAGAGATGAAAAGTGACAGAATTCCCTCTCACCTTCTAACTCGTACATTTATGAGTCACAATTTGTAGATATATCTGCTGTATCATATATGTATTTCTGCGTTCCTATTTTTGACTCGTGCACGTTAAAATTGGCAACGGAAGCCAATATGCTAAGAAACATTTGTTTCTTCCGATGCACTTATTATTTTCTCATCCTTTGGCCTCTAGCTACCCTACTAATAGTGTTTACTTTCGCTTCCAGACAATTATAATGTAGACACCTGGTAAATTTGGTAAAGTAAGTGACTAATGACCGACTCCAAGGGATACCGTGAGTTTTGTTGCCCTGGCAGGGTAAGGTAGAGGAATCCTCACTGTTTCCTGTGGTGCTAGTCACTTTAATTTTTATTTTTTTAAAGTGTTTCTCATACATCCCAACTCGAAAATGACTGCAAAAAATAATTTTTATAGGTAGGCTGGCACACACATTTGCTGCGGTTTCACGGTGAACGACCTTATCATGTGAGAGTCGAAAGTCAAGTCGTTGTTCCCCCGGGGGCCAAGTGAATTTTGTTTATCCTCGAAAGTAAGTGTATTTTGATTCACGACTCGCGACATGTTCAGCCCTCCAATCAAAAGACGTATTTAAGTTGGGCATTGCATCACCTGAGAGTCGAAAGTCAAGTCGTTGTTTCCCCGGGGGCTCAGTGAAGTTTGTTTATCCGAGAAAGTAAGTGTATTTTGATTCACGACTCGCAACATGTTCAGCCCTTCAATCAAAAGACGTATTTAAGTTGGGCATTGTATAAATGTCGCGTTCAGAGCTCTCTAGAAGTCAAGAATTATATTATGCTTTTAGCACCCATAAGCTACTTTTCCTTCAAGTTTCAGTCGACCGAAATCCCGATATTAGCAACGTTATGTGCCCCTTGGAAGAAAACGTTTCCGTTGTGGCGGACCGGAGTAGGCTATGTAAGGGCTCTTTTCATACCGCATGCATGTTTACAATTAGGAGGCTAAAATAGTCGTCATATAGTTCTCCTATCATATCAAAGGTTTCTGTATCAGAAAGTCCACTGAACTCACACGAGCGAAAATCTCGCTTGGAGGTTGGGACTGGCCATTGCTTGTTTGAAGACCAGTGGCATCTATGTTCTCTCAGTGATGCAATGCCGATGCCTCGATCACGAGCAGATTTGCTCGATTGTTCATGACCAAATACTGTAAAACAAGTAGTAACTAGAGGTCATGTTTGTTCTATGAGTTAATTCTCGAGAGAGGATTGTTCGATCATTTTTCTAGACTTAGATTTAATCCTTACAGGCCTTCGGAAACAAAAGAATTCTAAAACTAATCTGAATGCATCCCCTTACGGAATAAGATTGATAGAAAAATTGATCCGTCAGTTAAATCGTCAAATTCTCACCTGTACTGATCTGTAAATAACGTCTTTCTGATTTACAATTTACGTTTACTATTCAGTTGATAAAACCAAATTATTTTGTGATACTTCCCCACCGACACAGCACCACTGTTTCTCTAAAAACTCACCCCCTTTATACTTCAGACAAAGTTCCTCGTGCTCTCAAAAACTTGAACGATTTGACTTTGAAATGGATGAAATAACAAATTGTAAGATTTAAAAAAACACCTTGCCCTAATATTTATTTATATTCACGCGGAAATCAGTATATTTACATATTCCGTGACCAAACAAAAGGGAAAGTCTATCTCTTCGAACCTTAATTGTTCTTGGAAATACATAAAGCAACATAAACTACTACATAGAAAATCGTGTTAATCTCATTGACTCCTTTAGGATCCGGTGTATGTAAAACTATAACTACATGATAAAAACAGTGGAGCACTGTCGGTAAGCCTACCACAAGGAGGAAGCGAGCGTCAGACATGTGACCTAATTAGATATTTGTGCGCTAAAACGGCTTTACAATCCACAGCTGATGGTAACGGTGCATTTGTTGTGTTCGTCTCTTTTTTCAGTCTATTCGTTTGAAGAAGTTATTCTCACAGTCAAGGGTTGCTTGGTGTACAGACAGCTCTGAGTTAAACGCAACTAACGAACAGAGACTTTCCAGAAATCGCCGATTGAGTTTACACTCTGAGAGGCGACATCATCACATTCCCTGTCGTTGTCGCTATTCAAGTGGACCCTAAGGTGATACTTAAATTGTCAGAAGGCAAGGAAGCTGTATAACCTCTTTTGATCTCCACCATGTCCCCACTTTCCAACATAGTACTTTCCATTTCCTAGTCCCCAATCTTTGCAAATGCTAGCTAACTAGGAATTGTCATCCAACGTCAATCTCACAAACGAAACACAGGCGTCCGGTTG